TTTCTGGCCCACGTGTGATAATGTCCAATGTCTGGATGTGCATCAGGGAAAGTCCTATTGTGTAGTGGATGCCCATGTGTTGCAATATCATAGCAACCCCTAGGTGAATATGGACATTGCAAAACTACTCAGTTCAATTTTGTGTGCACATAAGGCCATTTACAAAGATGTTAAAGCCCAAGCAGAATACTAGCCATTAACTTTTTTTTACAACTATCAGAAACCCCTAGCAATTCTGAGGGAGTAATAATCCAAAACACAACTATATACCAGGTGTCTTGGTTTACCCCAGAAAGTGCTGTGTTGGAAATAGCATCTTTAGACCCAGATTAACAATGGCCTGAAACAGACAGCCTGAATAAACTGGTTTCTGCCTGCATTCAGGGCATAGTATTTAGATGACACATGCCCCAAGTGCAGTCAGATACCACATCGAGACTGTGTCTTTTACAAAGAACCAGGCCAAAAAGAAATTCCACTCCTTTTGCCAGCCTAGTTCAAAACCACAGTGGCGGCCCAGATCATGGATTTCAGAATGTGGAAAGGGGGAGGATGCTATAAGTGAAAGGATATAAAATAGAGGCCTATCTGTTAAACAGTCATAGTTTTCTGCCAACATCACTCTAGTTACCTTCTCACTTCTTTCATCACCACCAGCTCCCTGGAGAACCAGGGGCTGCAGTTTGATTCCACTCTGTGAGAGGGGATGCTTGGGAGCAATTGTGTTCACCATCCTGGCCATTTCTCCATTCCAGAGATCAGCCAGGACTTCGACAGATCATCTGCCAAGGCAGTAGAAAAGTCCCCAAGAGCCATCAGGAATCCATCTAGATCCATAAATTCAAAATCTCCGCTTGACCATGGAAACCCGCTGGGTGACCTTGGTCGGCTTACAGTTTCTCAGCCTCCAAAGAAGGCAATGGCACACCTCCTCTGAACAAATCTTACCAAGAAAACCCTATGAAAGGTTTGCCTTAAGGTCTCCATAAGTCAGAAAGGACTTGAAGGCAAACAATGGAGTTTATCACACGGGAGGCTAAGTGCCTAAATCCCATGCAGAAATGGGATTTAAATCCCAGAAAAATCCTGCAAAAGTGGGATCGTTTTCAGACTCATCAGAGGCATTGAGCAATAACTGAAAAATAACCTGCACAGAAAGTGGACAAAATCAGCTACTTTTTACTTTCAGGAGAATCCACTTTGTCCACTTTCTGTGCTTATTAATGCCCAACATCGTGTGAAAATGATCCCAGCTTTTGTGGGATTTTCTCATTTTAAATCCAATTTCTGCATGGGATAAACCCTGTGTGATAAACTCCAATGACAACAATAGGGTATAATGCCAAAACTAGAGCCAGCATGGTGTAATGGTATGAGTGTTGGGATTATAACTCTGGAGGCCAGGGTTCGATTCCCTGCTTGGCCATGGAAACCCACTGAGTGACCTTGGGCAAGTCACACACTCTCATCCCAAGAAAACCCTGTGTTGGAAATGACTTGAAGACACACAACAACAACAATTATGCTAAAACTAGAGAAAGAGGCAGAAGAGTGCAAAGAAAATAAAGAAACAACACACACACACACACACACACACACTTTGGACTGGGAGAAAGATTATATATATATTCCACCCCATCCACCCCCAACAGTCTCTGTATTTGTCCTTCAGTGACAATTATAGAAGATAATCCAGTCCCCTGGTAGATTATGCCCCTTCCCCTTCAGCACACACTATTAAAACAGGATAATAATAATAATAATAATAAAAACCACCAAGAACTAACTAGGAATTCCTTTAATAAGAACCCCTGCAGCCTCCACAAACTTAACATAAATCTTTTTGGAACAGTTGCCAGTGCAGACTCTAATAAGGCTGGGATTTGGCTCAGTGAGAATTACAAGAGCTAAAGACAGGAAAATCCTGGTAAGAAGAAAGGCTGAGCTGCAATATGGTCTATGGATAATAGAAAGAAGGTAAGGCAGTGGACCAGAACTAAGTTCATATACAGGGGCAGACATGCATAGAGCAGCCCACAGCACATTTTTAATCAGAAGTGAGCTCTACTGAGTGCAAGGGAATGTATCGCACTGATTGTATGTTGGATTGCTAAATGTGACTGTTGCCCTGGACACCTGATACTTGGACCAGTTCATCGGTTATGCATTCTGAATGGATATTGTTCTATAAGAAGCAAGAATCAAGTGGAGCTCCAGATGTTGTTGGACTGCAAGTGCTAGCCAGCATAGGTAACAGTGTGTAATTCCTGGAATTGTTTACTGCATTCTAGATCAGCTACTTAGTTAATTTAACTAGGTATACTTAACTAAATAGTATTGGGCAGCTGCTGCTGCAATTGATGGAGATCTGCTCCCCAATGATTAGGATGTAGCAGACTAACATTTACACACACACACACACACACACACACACAAACCAAGCTATCTCCAGTGTGTGGATGAATTCTGACAAAGATCTTGCCTCTAACTATTGCAACGGAGATCACTCACAGGAGAAGAGTGGAAACATCAGTCTGATGCATCCCAATCAACAGGAGAACAGAGCCCTGTCCCTTGCAGCTTCTGATATCTAATAAGTTAGGGTTGGGGAATTTTTTACAATCCCTGCATGTTCCCTGCACTGTTGAATATGTAGGGATTGTGAATATGTCTCCAGTTTTGGATACATAAGTCTAGGTTACACATTTGTAACTGCGAACGTAAATTCCAACTGTCATCTATCTAAAAGACCTTATCTTTCTATACAAGCCATCCCAAGTTTTAAGCTCTTCAGGGGAGGGCTTTTTCTTGATCTCACCAGCAGCATCATTTGGTGAGGACAAAGGAAAGAGCCTTCTCGGAAGCTGATCCTAGGCTATGGAAATCCTTTCCTGGGAGGTTTGGTTAGGTTCTTCCTTGTTCTCTTTCTACAGACAGGCTGTTGTTGTGTGTCTTCATGTTGTTTCCAACTTATGACAACCCTAAGGGAAACCTATCATGAGGTTTTCTTGGCAAGATTTTGTTCAAAGGAGGTTTGCCCTTGCCTTCCCTTGAGGCTGAGAGCATGTGACTTGCCCAAGGTCACCCAGTGGGTTCCCATGGCTGAGCAAGGAATTGAAGCTTGGTCTCCAGAGTCATAATGCAACACTCAAACCACTTCACCTTGCTGACTCTACAGGCAGGTGAAGACTGATTTATTTGGACAGGCCTTTCATTGATTTTTAATTGTATGATAGAACATGGTAATTCCCACTTGGTCTCATCATAAGTAAATGCTGTAGCATTTACTGTTCTGTTGTTATTTGTAACTGACATGAAATTATGTTCAACATTTATTTGCTGATATAACAGTGATATCAGTATCAACAGGAGCATGGAGAAAATTCTGCAAATGCAAGGCCAGGGCAAAGGAAGCAACAACCATGTGCAGACTGTTTTAAAGACAGGATTTAGCCCCAGTTAATTACTACTATTCAGTCAAAATCTTCCATTTCCGTTCTTTTCTGATAAATTTTCAGTACTTGTTTCAAAATTGTTTGCTTATTTGTTTAGATTAGTCTCATTAGTCTTTTATATCCTGATAACCAATGATGTTGTCACATCAGACATGACACTGTGACATTGTTGATTTCTACAATGCAGGCTACAGTAGCCTTCCACAACCTAGTGGCTCCTAGATATATTAAACTATTATTCTGATCACCCCTCATCAGCATGGCCCATGACTCAAGATCATGGAAGTGGTAGTCCAACACCTGTGAAGCAAATCTTTGCCAAAGCCCATATTGAACTGGCTCTGTTTGGATGTATCTCCCCACAAATAACCTTTCTTCCACCTGGTACCCTTCAGATGCATTGGCCTATGGGTCCCAACATATCTCACCACTGGTCATGAAGATATGTTGCAGTCCAAGTTGCATTGCAAAACATCTTTGTAGTCCAAAAGAGTTTTCCATGAGTTTGTACAGTTGTTCCAATGGGGTGGGGAAGCAACTCAGAAGATGTACTTTGTTGAAAATGTCATAGTCTCAAAATAACTCTTGCACAGTTTCTACTTGTTTGAAAATGACCCTTAATGACTGGTTAAAAGTTATGCTGGTAATTATGAAACGCCATGAAAAGAACTAATTGCTCATTGTTTTTATTTACAACAAAGAAATGACATGGTAGCCCATTTGTTAATTGTGCTAAACTCCTAATAATGATGAGAGGGCATTAATTTTCAACATACATAGCTGATACATAGCAAGCCTGGAAGCACAGCTCAGATACAAACATAAGAAGAAACATTTGTTTTGTGTTATATGTATTGCCTTAATTTGCAAAACACACAAATAGCAGTTTCTGCAGTTTGTAGAGATGTGATCTGCTTTTTCTATTAAATGATTATACAACCTTGTTTCCAAGAAATGGCAATAATAAAGTACTTAAATGAGGATGATAATCTAATAACTCCCGCATTTTACATATAAAGTGCCTTACAGAAAACCAAGTGGCCATTAGTCACAGATAATGTTTTCAGTGATATGAAAAAATAGGCTTCCTTTAACTCCTTATCTGGAAGACAAAAACTTGAATATATTACTGGCAATTAGGGCTCTGTTGTACAACTATTTTAAAATAAAAGGAAAGAAAATGTATTTATCATTTGTTGTGTAGGATTTGCTGTTTCTAGTGTTGTTTCTTATCATAATCAAGGCATACACACATACAGACTGAGTATGGTGAAGACTTTGGGACTGTGTGCATAGACACAATTCTTCTTGTGTTATAATTATGCTGGTTGTTTAATTGGAAGGCTTTTTGTTTGTCTTGGAACAAATGTGGAGAGTTTATCAGTCCTTTGACTCCTTGCTGGAAGGGGCTGTAAAACCTGTGATTATCAAAGGCAGCTTTGTATTATTACTAGATTTGTCATTTGTCTTCCCAGAAGATACTTACACAAGCTTTCTCTACTTTTACAAACATTTTAAACTTTCAACACACTGGATTTTTGGCCCATAAATTTTTATGGCACAGATGTCAAGGCCTTTTCAACATCTCTGAATTGAGCAAGGGTTAAAAGATGTGTTAGCTCCACTTACTGAGTCACATCTGTGGTACAATTCAAAGACATAGGTGTATTAGTCTGGATCAGTATGCCAAGGGATCTTAGAAAGAAAGAAATTGGTAGATCTTACTTGGACAATTCACCACATCTCCTTTCTGGTTCCCAGACAGCATCATACTACATTCCAATAATACCTACCACCATTCTTATGGTTATCCACTCACTTTGCCTTTAGGCAACATCTTTCTTCGTTTGTCCTCCAACAACCATTGGTTGTCACTGCATCATCATACCCACATGTTTTGCATTTCTATTGCTATTCACACACAGCCTCCTTATAAAGGCCTGTACCTTACGTACTTCATTCCATGCATTTAAGTAAGTCGACTCAAGTCTATGAAAGCTTCTTTCAAGATGCTACAAGATCCCTTTGCATACTGAGTCACATGTGAATGAGTGGAGGCACATTCTCTCCCTCTGTGTAAAGAAGTGTTCCCATTCTTGATGTATCTCAGTCCATTTACATGTACCTTTGCTAGGAACCTGCCTTATTCAGATCCTTGGTCCATCGTCTAGTCCAGTATAGTGGGTAATAAAGGTAGGGCAATTGTGCTTTGCTCATTTTTACAGCCCCTGAAGCCCCCAGAGCATCCCAAGTTAGGTGAAAAGAAGCCATCGCTGAACTTTCATGGTAGGAGCAGGGCCAATCTGGTTGACTGTCAAGAGTCTCTACACACAGACTAGCCACAACTCTCCAGCATCACAGACAGAAAAGTTTCCAGCCCTGCCTGGAGCTATCAGGAATTGAACCCATGACCTTCTGCACACAATGCCTGTGATCTACATCTGAGCTTCAACCCTTGCCCAGGAGGGGGTGATCAATAAACATTATATAAGGAAACAAGTCTGATGGAGCTTTGGTTGCTTTTCAGTTATGGATAAGTTGGGTTAAAACAATTTGTTCAGTGGTGGTTGGTGATTTCCATAGGGTGAAACACATGAGCCAAAAAAAAAGTGGTTTCCAAACACTTTGAAGGTGAGGGTTTAGATGACACATGCCTCCAAAGTGGGTGGAAACTGCACTGAAGCCACACTCCAGGGATAAACGAGCAAAAAATCCCAGGGATATTCTGACTTATCCTGGAAAATGTGCACCTTCAACCCTACGTATAAACACACTGACTTGAAATTGTTATGAAGGAATGATCCACCCTAACCCTAACCCTAAAGCTACATATAAATACCCCAATGCAGGTGTGCTTTAAAAAAGGATGGAGCTGGCGTACTCAAGCGGTCAGGGAGGCAATGCAAAAAGGTGTAAGGTACAAGTACTACATACACAAACCAGACAGTCCAAGAGGGGGCATGGGGTGGA